TCATATGACACTGACTCCAAACAAGAGTGAAAAGTCAATAAAAATTGAAAGTTATAAGTACTTGGTAAAAATTCCTTCCAGTTTTCTTTGTAGGGGATATTCACAAAATTGTATTTGCATTGAAGTAATGCAGTTCTGTAATGACTTCTCACTGCAAAAGATACTTAGAGCAACAAGATACAACTTAGAGCACAAGAGCAATTTGAAAGTTAAAAAAAAATAAATCGGTAAAGCCTAGGCTTTTCATTTTACAACAATGTAAAGTGAGCAAAATAACCCTGACTGATGCCTCAGCAACACTGATCCACAGTGAAACAAAAGTACTTTGTTTTCACTGTGTTTTTTTACCTCAGGATATTTTATGCCAGTGGGTTGCCCTGAGGTAAAGTACACAGCCTTTTTTCAGCAGGGTAGGCCAACTCTGAATAAAATGTGCTAGGTTACAGTATTTTTCCAAAGATGAGACGTAACAATACTTTCCAAAATTTTTAGAGATGTTTTCAATGATACAAGAAAAAAGGGCAGTCAGCATCTTCTCTAATCCCTCTCCCTTTTCGCCTTCAAAAATCTTTCTTTTGTAGTTTACAGTAAGTGTTGTCCTAATAAATATATTACGTTCAAACTAGAATATATCTTTTCTGTTTGTAAATCTGACCCCAGGATTTTTCAGATTAAAGAGGCAAACAACTGAAGAACATAGATTAAACGCTGATTTAAACCATACAGGCAGAGGACTGCTGTACTTTTATCTGGACTTTCGCAGACAAAACCCATGTGGAGAAAGTGCATAGTGTGTGCCTAGTAAGCTCATTCCTTCTGGGAAGCATGGGGCCTGCTGTGCATACCTTGCACAATTTGTACAGCGGATTTGGTTTTGAGACAGGACGGCGCAGATAGGCATTAGCTGCATATTTCCAGGAAATACTGCACATTGTGCTGCGTTATTGAACTGTGCAAGCACTAAGGAAAGGAGCAAGACAGATGTAGCAGCCTGGCTGGAACTAGTAGGTGGAACTGCGCCCCTGGAAATCCCAGCAAATGTAAATGCTCCCAATTCTGGCAAATACAGGGATATGGCCAAAGGGACTCAGAGCTTTGCAAACTCTGTATACAGAGAGTAATGATCATACAATTTGTTGGAGGCGCTCCAATTTGTTGGAACTTCTTCAGTGGTGATGGGTTAGAAAAAAGGGCTAATACCATAAGCCCTGTGTAGAGCAATCTCAGGAGAATCTCTTGGGCTTAAGTCACTTTTATATGAGCTATTTCAGTGTAGTACTGGAAATGTCGTCACCACTTCTGATATATATATATATATATAGAGAGAGAGAGAGTAATAAAGTTGTTGATTAAATCATTACATTTACTCCAGCACTTACTATTTCTGGATGTTGCTTTCTGCGTATCTGGAGCCTAGCAAATCTAGTTGAATTTAATTATAGTAACAGAATAAATTAAAAATGCTTCGTGTTACTTAAGCATTTGAAAAAGCTTTTGTTTTTCTTCCTTTGCAAGGACAAGTACTTTCAATATAGTGTTCAGATGTGTTCAGTGAATGAACGTACAAGAGCCTAAGTTCACAGATAATTTTGTTTGGCAGATGTAGAAGATTCTAAAGAGGAGGATTCTGCAAATAGCTGCAAGATATTCTGGACTTGCTCAGCATTTCCAGAATAATTATTCCTGTATATATTTTAACTTGTCAGTTACATAAAAATGTAGACTGTATTCTACATCTAAAAATTATGCCTACTGAGATTTAAGTTAAGGAACAAATTAGAAAAAAAAGTGTAGGTCTAAGAATGCCTCCTATTGTTTGTTCTCCGAAGGCATCAAAAACTCTCCACGTTTGTCCTTTTGATTCTAGCAGTTTAGTGACAGACATATAACGCTGGCTAAAATCAAATTTAGTTCAAGCAGGTGCCCAGTGGTAACTGAGGTCTCTCAATGTGCCCCCTCGTGTCAAAATAACACAGTGCGGAGTTACCTGCTTTGGGGTTTTGATGGACACCAGGAAGCTAAACTGAGTGACAGCCTTAAAAATTAAAAGCCAGAAACCTGTGCTTGATTTACACCGACGGAAGATCTGTACAGAGTAATTGCTCCCATTTGACTGTGTTCTCCAGAAGTGGAAATTTCAAGGGCTCGGTTAATTTTCAGTGAGCAATTAATTTTGTGGTTCAATTAATCCATGTCTTTTGACAACAGCTTAACATTTCTTTTAATGTTTCTACAGATACACCGTACCTCTGACTTCAGAACTCCCTCTGGAAGCTTTGTCCTGTAGCGCAAGGCCTTGACTCCTCCATTTTTGCAAGGAAAAGTGCAGTGGCTTTGCAAGGAAGAGTCTTGCTATTGCAAGACTTGGCTCTCTGCAAGTCTAAGAAGTTTGAACTGCCATTAACATGTTATTTAATGAGGATAGCTTTTTAGAGGACAGCATTTACCAGTGAAGCGGAAAGCTGTATGCATGGTTCTCAAAGTAGACCGGAAAAGCAAGTATTGACACATCCTGTTTAAATCACAATAAAGTGTGTTTCATCTCTCTTTGCATTGGAATACCGTTTTAACCCAGTGTCTTTTACTGCTGGTTACTGGAATGTGACCTTCTCATTCATTTCTATGCCCTTATTCATGTCCAAACTATAAAACTAAAAGCTTTAATGAAATGGAAAGAAACAAAAGATTTCCCATTTTTAATTTGTTGTATTTTTGCTGGATGCCTGGTGAGAGACGGGGGCCCTACTGTTCGGGTTAGTTTATATTTAGTGGATATTGATAGGCCTCATCCACTGGAAATGACATCACAGTCCTTACTGAAAGACACCTTACAATCCCTGCTACGAGAATTTGACCGGTGTGGGCGGAAAAAAACTAGCCAGCTAGTGCCAAAGGCATCACCTGCCGCTTCACCAGTATTATTTTAATAGGAGGAATCGCCTGACAAGCTTGTTCCTGTGGACAGGAACAGCTGCGGGGTTGGGTCTTTAATGCTTGAAGCAATGTTTGGACATTTGGGTCTGTACAGAAATGTAATGTCTTGCAACCCTTGCATGACTATGACCGAAATAATTGGCTACCTGGCCTATCTAGAAGTTGAGGGGATAAATGAATCACTTCCGTGTCGAAACATAATCACTGAAACAAGAGCTCTCAGCATATGCAAAACCTGCACACGTGCTGCCTGCAAATTCCTTGCCCTGGAGCAGGGAGTGAGCGTGGCTCAGCACGCCCTCTGCCTTGGTGTGCTGAAAAACCCAAGGGACGCTGGGGAACTTAATGGGGTCCATCTTGGCAGCAGGGCTACGTTTCACCACGTGGACAGCAAAGCTATTCTGAAGTATTTTGATCTGGCACGGGCATTTAAAACCAAAAGTCGTGTCCCTGCTTTCTCTGGACCTGCAATTGTACACGCTGTGCTCAAAGGCTTTCTGCGTGCGTGAAAGAGCACCGTAGAAAGGTCCATCAAATGTCACGAAGCTTCTATATTTACCTGCGTGCACCATGGCCTTCAATAAATCATTCCGGGGAGCAAAGAATAAATCTACTTGTACCGTGCTCTGCCAGCAGTTTGCCTGTGTGTGTAAGTTCCAAATTAAAGACCTTGATCCCTAGGACTGCGTCTCATGTGTGGATATATTGTGCATTTTATTTTCTGTCAACAGGTTTTTCTTAAAATGGCATGACACCAGAATGTGTTTTTATTACTTCTTTCTGCAAGAATAAGCTTTTCTCTTTCTTTTCCCACCCTCTCATTTATCAAAGGCATAGCCCTACTTCCATCTTAATTAAAATATTGAACAAAAAATCTCCCCCACTAGCAAAACTGGGAACTGCTCCCACTCAAATCGCTTTTTTTTCAATTCTTTACTGTGATTTAGGGTAAAATCCTGCTTATGCTGATATCAAGATCAGTTTTGTTTTCAACAAGAATAAGAATAAATGTGATAAAATAAATGTTACCTTTATAAATAACAAACCCTTTCTCTGCCCTACTCTTTCCTCTCCTCCTCCTCCCCCCCCCCCCCCCAACAAAAAAGCCACACCTCTCCCACAAAAAGCCTAGCATCTTGCAGCCAGCATTAGTAGTTGTTTTCCAAGCAGAGGCTGTGAAGACTGAACTAGCTCTGATGGCTAACCTGGCTCTTTCCCAGTAACATGGCTCCAGCTAGAGCTGTGCTGAAATACTGCTCCAGGTACGTTTCATCTGACAAGAACGTTAGTCTTCAAGGTATCAGCCACACAAATCTGCATTGTAAGAGGGCTTCATATGAAAGGATATTGGAAAGCAATACTATAACGCATTTGTGCTAATGAAAATCCTGTGATCTCCCCAGAAAAAATAGTTTCCAAAGTATATTAAAAAAGAAAATAAAAAGACACAGTGCCCATACATCTGATTATACTGTTACCAGGGTAAGAGGTAAAAGCTGTTATTTCCCCCGCAGTGTGTTAATATGCTCCCTTTGCTACCAGGTTTTCAAATTTCCTACTTTATTCTGAGTTCCCACTTTTATTTATACCACTGGTGTCAGCCTTTCTTTTGCTATTTCTTAAAATTCAGCAACAGCCTGTGTCTTGAGACCTATGACTCATAGCCCTGAATTCAGATCACTTTGCTTCCTCAATTTTATCTTATCCCCAGGACAAGGGTTTCCGCCAGAGTCCATTCTCTCTCTTTCAGGGTTTTATGTAAGCGTAAATTTAGGCCACCATGTATCATTCACATAGTACGTCTGCATTTTATGTACCTGTCAATGACTTACAAAGGGCAGAACGGCTTCAAGTCTCAGTTGTACCTTTCAGTGCAACCAAGCCAGAAGTCTTGGTGTGTTCTCAAGTTGTTGATTTGGATTTTGGTCTGAAAACCCAGTGTTGTCAGTAGCTCACATCCTTCTGTGCTCTCTGTTGGCTGCGGGCAGAGATTTCCCTTTCAGCACGCACGCTCGCTGCCTTGTGCGTCTCTTTCAGCTCACCTCTGCCTTGAGGCTCTGCCTTACCCAGCCCGCCAGACGCGAGGAGACAGCTTCACCTAGACTAACTGCAACTTTCAAGGCACACAGACGTGTCCAGAGCCAACCCCAAAGCGCCACCGCGCTCCTGGCCACGCTGCACACCAGCTGGTGTCCTGTCACTGCATGTGTCCTCCCTGTGGCATGTTCCTGGCCACCTGCGAATCCCAGCGTGACCGGGCAGACGGGCTGAGGACTGTCCTGGCTCTGTCCGCGTTGCTTCACTTCAGTCCCTGGCAGCCCCACTCGCGCTCTTGTCATCCACCCGAGCGAGCCACCAACGCTGCTGCCTCAAAGACAAAATGCGTCACGCTAACCGAATCCCTCCGGCACCGCTCCGCTCCTTCCCACTTTTCAGCTGCACGCCAGCTCACAGCAAGGAAACCTGCCATCGTGTAAACTGTCTTCTGAACTGCCTGATGTTCCCACCTCCTTCTGTCGCCATTTCTGTAGAGAGCACAACAGCATTAAAAAAAGGTACTGTTACTCAGAGAATCAGAGGACTTGCTCTCCCCTCCTTCCTCATGATCCAAGCTATGCAAACTAGCACAAGCTTTTTTAAATAGTCATGCAGTGCCATTGGCAGAAAAGCCAAAAGAATATGCAGTGGTTTTACCCATTTCTGACGCGTTTCTGGGCCAGCTGGTGTGGCCAAGCTAGACTGCATGAAAGAGAGGAGTTATTTTCCTGAGAACGACAGGCGCTAAAAATCATATTCGCTCTGTCCCCATGTGCTCTCTGTATTTTAGGCTGGAGCATCAGGGAATTCAGAGGGGCAAGCCCTCTGCATGAACTGCATTTCCTGTCGATGAGGCAGCTCACAGGAGAGCCTGCTGGTGCTGCGCTGGAGATGCTATATGGCAGTATAACGGAGTCGCGACCCAGTTCTGCGAGACAGTATAAAGAGGTAACTGAAGGGAGAAACCATTCCCCAGCGTGAAGGGCCTGCAATATGAAACAGAAGCCAAGGGATACACCGTGGAAAGACATTCATCAAGGGACAAAAGAGGAATTTAAAAGTACAAGCAAGTCTACTCTGCAAAAAAACAAAAATTGCTTTACCAGCTCAATTATATTTCATTAAGACATTTATTGATATTGCAAGTGAAGTGAGAGATGCAGAATTACATTCAGTGATTCCTATGAGACAAAACTGCTCCAAAACATAGCAGAAACAGCCAGAGGTCAACATTTTCCTAGAACTACAAAAAATGCTTCTAAATGAAAGAGAGAACTGAAATAAAAATTAGCAAGTAATGATTAAAAGCAGTTCAGTATGTTATGAAGAATATCTAGTTTTGTTCATATCAAATATATCTGTCAAAGCAGAGGTGCTGGTACTCTCAGGGGCTGTCATGTCATCTCTGTGGTGGTCTTAGGACAAGGGAGCAACGGCTCTTGGTTTTGGGAAGTTCAAGAGAAAATGCCAAACACTGCAAGGTCCTAAAAAAAGCCCTGGCAAAGGAAGTGCAAGTCAGAGGCTTGTACTTACTTAGCACAGAAGTGCTGGTGCTAGTGAATGAAGCAGTCATCAGCCGCACCTGAGTTAACCCTTTACTTTCCCCTTAAGTAAAGAACATTTTCACATCCCCAGTGTTACCTACATGAAGGCAAGATGCAAATAAGGTAACAGCTGAGTCTAGCTTTGCAGAACCACCGACCACTTGATCTACAACACAGATAAACTGTAGACCAGGCAGGATTCACCCTCCTCCTGCTTTGGCACAATTTAGGCATTGCAGAAATAACCCAAATGGCACCTTTACTTTTACATAGATTATTAAAGCTACATTGTTAATAAAGAGACTATGCAATTAGCATGCATCTCTTCAGCATTTTGAGGGACTGAGCAACTGCAGAGAGGTTTTATCTTTCTGCTACTGTGCATATGACCTTCAAAACAGTTTCCAGAAGCATAATGACAGGGTAGAAAGATCCTTTATATTTGATGGAGTAGAGAAGTAAGTCCTGACAGTTTTATGTAGATGAAATAACGTATAAACTGCCAGACTAGCTTGGCTCCTCATAAATCTTCTGTGCTTTCAGTCCTATTGTAGACTAGTCACGAGGTGCCATTACCATAAATGGAAGTGTGAAGTTTGAGAATATTAAGTTCAAGACAGACCGTTACCAAGGCAAATGCCTGTCTCTCACAAAAGAAAAATGAAAGCAGTGAGAACAGTTACAAGGAAGGCATGCTGTTTTTTAGGCAGAAGAGTCCTGCCTGTGCAAAGCAATTCTTAGAGCAACAAGCTCTAATTTCACCCCAGAAGGGGTAATTATGATTTCTGTAATCACTTCAGTATCTTAAAAAACAGAGTTATAACAAAACACGAAAACTGCAAGTTGTTGGAATCCTTTGTGTTCAGCTGTAGATAGTATTAATCATAATGTTGTTACTCGCTACACACAGTATTTACTATCAATTCTTTCCGGTAGTCTAAGCTATCAGGTTCATAGCACACTATGGGTTATTATAGTGCTTTGTCTCCTGCTAACTAGTTACAACTGTTGTGATTTGTCACTATTACCGTATTATTTTGTCCGATTACTAATTGAAACAGAGATTGGGGAATGCTGGGCCAGGAAAGCTTTGTGGTCTTACGGGTGGGGAAGAAGCTACTGAGGGTTTTTTTTCCCCCAGATCTGAGGAAAATAGCAAACGCTTCTTCAATCACCTTGCCCCTGAACCCCCATTTTTATTCAATTGTTCAGTAAGAGTGTTTCCTAAACTCCCCTATCCGGTCTTTGTAGTCTGCAGGAGCAAGGGGCTTTTTCACGTATGTGAAACTAGCTTACAAAGCAGGGAAGACTCAAAGAAACCTGCCTGTGAGCTGGGTTGGCTCTTTTCCAGCCTGACTCCAAAGGTAACCGTATGCTTTCTGTGACTGATCTTCCTCCCTGTTATGAGACTCCTGCCCCCACTCACAGGGCTGTCAGCATCACAGAGGGCCAGGAATAGCAGGAACTATTAAAGACTGCTTCCATTCAAGAGACCCTTATTAAAGAGATGTTAGGCATCTAATGAGGACGCTGAACCCTACAAGGAAACACTAGTACTCATTTACAAACAGAACTCAGCATTTTTATTCATTGATTGACTTCCTGCCAGTTTTGATGTTTGCTATCACCAGAGAAGAGCGTAAAGACACAGTACAACATTGTTAACCAGTCAGGAAGGCTGAAAGGGAAAGCAAATCCCAGTACAATTGCAAATACCTTGGTGGAGTTTTAAGATTTTTGAACAGATCAGCAATGAAGCAGTAAATATCCTGCTGCACTGAACCAACAATAGGATTTTCACTGAATTTGTTGTTTATTGCATTACATTTTAAAACTAAACATATCCATCATCATACATTTGTTCACCAACCAGGCAGATGACAATTTTTTCATGTGTTATAGGCTAAATGGCTAAAATTATGCAGTAGCTGAACTAGACTAGGACTAGTAGAGGTAGATATTTAATGGGCAGTGCCAGGCAGAAATATTTTGTGAAAGTACTTTTTGCCTTTTGTTATGAACAGCTAGCAAATGTAACATTTTCAATTAAAACAACAAACACCTTAGGAGAGCTATTCCAAGATGCTTTGGATTTTCTAGTAATGCTTATCTTGCAACGTTCTTACCGAGCCTTTGATATGGTCCCTTGCAAACTGACAGTCTTTGCCCTCTGAGTTTTCTGCCATGATTTACTTGAAGACCAATATACAAAGCTAGAATCCCTGTGAACATACTACTATCTGCTTGTACCGCTCTAAAAGTAATACACGCTTTCAACTTCCTTAGCACAGGAAGATTGTATTTATGGTACTTACAGCTTCAGTAATCTTTCTAGTAATAATAAAAAAGCTACTTCACCCTTAATTTAAAATGAAATTTTTATTATGCCACCTTCCCATAACGCCTTACAGTGTCCTTTTGTCCAGCCGCTGCATCAATTTCTCTTTGCCATTCTCAGTGCCGGCTGTATGCTCTTGGGAGGGAGAGTCTGTGCCCAAAACAGGCATTAAAATTGGTGGTTACAGCTTTAGTTTCCAGGAAAATACAACCATAATGAAACAACCCCGAGTTTTGTGAAAGTGTATGCCTTTGCTCCTTAAACTATCAAGCAGTTCATAATTGGAACTGGAAGCAAGAGTCTTTCCCAAGCTCTGCAACCGTTTTTTCCTTCAACTGAAACAGCTTCAGCTGTTAATGAGCTAACAAACTATTTGATTCCTCACTGATATTACTAATTATTCTACATCTGCATCATTTTCTCCACAGAATCCCAAAGCAGTAGGTCAGAATTTATTACGTATCAACACGCACAACTCTCACTTTTACGTAGCTTGAGCTATTTTACATTTATCAATCAGGCACAAACTGTATTTATAGAACAAACTTTCTTGGGGAGGGGAGAAGATAAGGGAAACGATTTCAAAGCTAGCTAGCTACTCAGCACAGAACATATAACAAAAGTTAAAGCTATTGTGAAATGGAAAAAAAAAATCATTTTCATTCAGGCATATTTAGCTGGATTATTATATCAAGTGTTTTTTTGTTTGTGGCACAGGTCCAAAGCATGCCCGTGGCACATGGAAAACAAGCACTGCGGGAACCGTGGCAGCTCTGCTCCAGTCCTCCCTCAAGGCATCACGTAAAGACAAAGAGATCTGAACTTTTCATATCTGAATTTGCTCACACGATACTGAAATTCTGTTTGCACCTCTGGTTTCTTGGATTAATCTCACCCTACTCCCACTGGTGTTTTCCTTCTATAAAGATGACAATTCAGTCTGGTAGAAGAACAAGGTGTTACAGCAACTTCTAGGGTTTACTTTACAGTGGAGCAACTCCAGACCTGTAAAAACAAACCAAACGCTAAAGAAATTTTATGAGGCTAGTTACATGGAACTTTCTCCCTACTCTAGGAGAAAAACTGAACAACAAACTTCCTTCTGTATTCTGACTGCCACACCACACATCAGACCTTGATTCCTTCCCCATGAGCATGGAAATGTTAAGACCTCTACTGAAAAATTTAACTTTAGGGCAATATAGAGCTCTTAAGGCATTTAAGATGCAAAGAAATGACTTCCTGAATGGATCAGTTCCAGCATATTTTACCTGTTCACTCACATGTATTAGGTTTTCCTTTGTCTGAATGCTCTAGCTCTCCCAATAAGTGAGCACATCTGCATTGTCAAAAATTGGAGTTAGCTAAGCACCTCATGTATCATCTTGGGCCAATGACTACTTTCAATTATTTATAAACA